GAAATTTCGGCAATGGATTGGCTTGGAAACAAGTGTTGCCAAAGTGCCACAGAGGGACCAACAGTTTCCTTCCCTTACGGTGCAGGAAACCCTCGAGTTTGCCCGCTTCTGTTGTGCTGGAGATGCGTCATCTGACGAGATCATCGACCACCTTGGGCTACAGACATGTCGAGACACAACGCTTGGCAATGACATGGCTCGCGGCGTCTCTGGAGGGGAGCGACGTCGTGTGACCACTGGGGAAATGGCATTTTTTTTCGTAATGGATCGTCTTGATGACGAGATCAGCACTGGACTCGACAGTGCCACAACGTTCGACATCGTTTGGAAACAGCGCGAACTTGCCACGAAACAACACAAGACAGTTGTCATGGCGCTTCTTCAGCCGGCGCCTGAGGTTTTTGAGCTCTTCGATAGCATCTTGCTGCTAAATAAGGGTGAAGTTGTCTATCACGGACCCCGACATCAAATATTGCCATATTTTCAAGAACTTGGCTTGTTTGTGTCCCACAAGACGTTGACGTTGCCGACTTTCTTCTGGATATCGGTACCAACCAGCAGTGCCAATATGAGCACATGCAAACTACAAATGCTCTTTCTACCCGAGTGGCAAAATTGGGGAGTGAATTTGCGGGTGTTTTCAGAGAATCCTCAATTTTCAGGAATACACTGAGACTTTTGGAAATCCCGTGTAGTATGCAACAATTCTGTGACGCCATGCAACATTTGATGCAGCTACCAGCATTCCGACAATCATTCTGGTCTAGCACCAGGCTTTCGCAATAAACACTTTCTTGGTGTTCGAGCGTTAATGGTGGTATTTGGGGGCGTTATTTACGGGACAACATTTTTCCAAGTTGACCTCACGAACGTGCAAGTGACAATGGGAATTGTGTACCAGACTGCAATTTTCCTGTCGGTGGGGCAATTGTCTGAGATCCCCTCGTTCATGGAAGCTCGTGAGGTTTTCTACAAACAGCGGAGTGCCAATTTCTATCACACGTCTTCGTTCGTGATCGCGTATCTTACGGCAGCGTTTCCTGTGATCGTGTGCGAGAGCGTTGTTTTCGGGTCTTTGGTGTATTGGATGTGTGGGTTCGTCGCGGAGGCTGGACCGTTCTTGGTCTTCTTACTGGAGATGATTCTATCTAGTGTGGCTTTGAGCAGCTCCTACGTGGTGTTATCTATTCTGTCACCCAATCTTGACGTGGCTCAACCGTTATCCACGCTCTCCACTGTCCTTTTCAGCGTATTATCGGGTTTTGTGGTTCCTATGACTCAAATACCAGCGTTATTCTCGTGGTTTAGATTGGGTGAATCCAGTGACTTGGTGTGTGCGTTCAGTGATGGTGAGTCAGTATCGCTCCTCTGTTTTTGAAGGGTGTTTCAATGGCGATGAGAACTATTGCAAACAATTCAACACAACCGTAGGAGGATATTTACTGTCACAGTTCGACGTGCCGTCAAGCGAAGTGTGGGTCTATGGTGGTTTAGTATACTTGGTACTTGCCATTGTCGTGTTCGTAGCTGCTGCAATCTGTATACTCGAACATAGAAGATTTAATACGTCAGTGGTGACAAACAACGTTGCATCGAGCAACATCGAGCGGTCGAACAAGAGGAAGAAAGCGCTCCAACTGCAACTGAAACAGCAACATTCGAACACCGGGGATGTCGACTACTACTTCAAAATTGGGTCTTCAACGTCAAGCACCAAATTTGTATCGGATACTGCCATCCACATGGAGAAAAAGCCGTTGAAACGGGTCACTTTGGCTTTCACGAATCTCTGGTATTCCGTGAAAACTGCGGACAAGACGGTTGATCTTCTTAAGAACGTAAATGGGTACGCTCCCAGGTACAATGACGGCGCTGATGGGGTCTTCAGGTGCCGGTAAGACCACGCTGATGGATGTCATTGCCGGTCGGAAGACCGGGGGATCAATTCGTGGCGAAATCATGCTGAATGGCTTCGTCGCCACTGAACGAGCTATACGACGGTGCACCGGGTACTGCGAGCAACAAGACACGCACTCGGAAGGCTCGACAATCCGTGAAGCGCTCACATTTAGCGCTCTGTTGCGTCAAGACAGCAGCATCTCGATGGACGCCAAACGCGAATCGGTTGAGGAGTGTTTGGATCTTTTAGGATTATGTTTAATCGCTGACCAAGTAGAGCAGATGAAACGCGTGACTATCGGCGTGGAGCTGGCTGCACAGCCCAGTGTTCTCTTCCTGGATGAGCCAACAAGTGGGTTGGATGCCCACTCGGCCAAGATGATCATGGATGGCGTCCGAAAAGTGGCAAACACTGGACGCACGGTCGTGTGTACAATTCACCAGCCATCGTCCGATATTTTCTTCCTCTTCGACAGCTTGTTGGTGCTGAAACAAGGTGGCGGAATGGTGTTTTTTGGCAATTTGGTCCATTCTCTTCCGGATCAACGCGAATGTGGACAATTGATCGACTATTTCGAGTCGATCGGGTCTTCCTGGCCTGTCGGAAGGCCAAAATCCAGCCACTTGGATGCTCCAATGTTGTGCGTTATTTCTACCGAAGTCGAGAGTATTTATCTCTCTTGCACGGTTTGAACCAATTAGGAGTCACGAAGCCGGCACTTGATCGATTCTCAGAGGTTACAATGGACAAGAAACGTGCTGCAGCTTGGAGGATCCAAATGGGTTCATTGATTAGACGTTTCTTCACATTGTACTGGAGAAGTCCGTCGTATAACCTTACGCGTCTTGTGATTTCGATGGGGTTTGGCGTATTCTTTGGACTTTTACTCTTTCGTGGAAATTACACTAGCTACCAAGGAATCAACTCGGCGGTGGGTGTGATCCTCATGACAACGCTTAGCCAGGGCAACATTTCGTTCTACAGCGTGCTCCCGTTCACTGGCAGAGAACGCGCTGCCTTCTATCGAGAAAGAAACGCACAAACGTACAGTGTAGTGTGGTATTTCTTGGGGTCGACGTCAGTGGAGATCGCATATGCCTTCACCACAGGATTACTCTTCTCCGCAATCTTTTATCCTATGATGGGGTTCACGTCGTTAAGTACGAATCGGTTGTACTGGGTCAGCGTGTCGCTTTTCGTACTGGTGGAGACGTATCTCGGACAATTTCTGGTTTTCGCTCTGCCCACACTCGAGTTGGCGACAGTTGTGGGGGTTCTTTTGAACTCGTTCTTCTTGCTTTTCTCCGGCTTTAATCCCCCGGCTGCGTCCATTCCTAACGCGTACAAATGGTGCTATTACAATTCCCCCCCATCGATACGCACTGTCGATCCTGGTTGCGCTCGTTTTCGGTGTTTGTTCGAAAGAACAGGGCGAGAACGAATCCTCAGTATTGAAGGAAAAACAACAGATCGGCTGCCAAATCCTCGAGGACGCCCCGCTCTCGATTGGTCGAATTACAATTAAGGACTGCATCGAGCAAGTCTTCAATATCAAGCACGACGACGTGTATATTCACTTTGAGTGCCTGCTCGCCTACGTAATAATTCTTCAAACATTTTCGCTACTTACGCTTAGATTCTTCAATCACCAAAAACGATAAAAATCGATCCACTCTTTATACAAAAATGTAACTATTATTACGTTTTACTAAGACCGCAGCTATGCAACACTTTTTGCTTAAGACTATCGGTTCTCCACAAACGAGTTGGAGGACTTTCCAACGGGAAAGCATTTGATACTTCCAGTGTTGAAGTACATGTAAGTACTAGTCCCTTCCAGTGGACAGATTCGAGCAGTGGAACAAGCTTATTAATATTTTACGCTACATCTATTCCTACCAGTTTGCTTGCGGCAGCGTTAACTGCTAACAAACAGTTGTTGCGTCGTGCTCAAACGTCATACCATGTATTTTATCCATAATACACGTAATGCATACAATAATACTCATCGGCTACAATACATGTAGGTACAAGTACTGTACGTGTACATGTACGGCAAATCCTCCAATCCTTCGCCTATCTGTTTAACGAACAACAGCACGAATTTGTAGGCTGTCTTGCTGTACATGTTTGTACCGGTATGTGGAGGGTCTTCCGTAGGCAAGTCATTTTAGTCATTCTGAAATTCCCTTTACGCCGCCCAAGTCATCTCAACGGAAAATGCGTACGTTTGT